TGAGGGCGATCTGGAGGAGGGGGCACGTGAGGGCGCTCTGGAGGAGGGGGCACTTGAGGGCGCTCTGGAGGACTGGACAGGACCAGCGAAGGCGAAGGCGACGACATAGAACTGAACGGGACCAGCGGAGCCGAAGGAGGCTCAGAGCAGCTTGTTAGCGCGGTTTCTGGGGTGAGGACGTTGATTGGTGGCAGCAGGTGCAGGTGATCAGAATTTAGGTGAGTGAGATCTGGTGATTGTGAATGTGAACTGGTGTGAGCCGAGGAGGATTCTGGGATATGGAGTCCAGAGCTGGTGACATGACAGATACTCCCTGACAATAATAGCAACATAGCCATAATAGTTCTACATGCTGACAGTGAAGTTTCTGTTGTATGAAAATTTGAATTCAAAACATCAGACAGACTGCCTCAAACCCTGGCAGCGTGTTTGGTGTTTGTTTTTAACATTTCAGGAGGAAATCAAGAGAAGCAAAGAGAGTAAGATAATGGCCCCCCCATGTTAAAGGGTTAGTACACCCAAAAATAAAAATTAGGCTGTGTTTTGAGCTTGAAAGATCAAAGACAATTTTTAATATAACTCCGACTGGATTCGTCTGAAAGAAGAAAGTCATATACACCTAGGATGCATCGGGGGTGAGTAAAACACAGCCTAATTTTTATTTTTGGCTGAACTAACCCTTTAAACACAGCAGATTATTTATTCATCGCAAATGTGCCTACATCACACTGTCGGACACTTTTGCAGTAGTGGCTGTTCGACTGTGAAGGCTGATGCCACTAAAACGAGAGCTAATTCTGAAGGCCTGTATTAATAAATTATACTCAACTGGGTTTGTGTTATATGAATAAAACGGTAGAGTAGGTTTGTCATGTTTAATAGGTTTTCACAACTTATGCGGAGTCAGAAAACCATAAGGTGAGAAAGACGTCCGTGCCTAAAACAACATCTTTGCAAAATCTACATTTATGCAATAATGAAAACCCTGTGATGTAGATGAGGTTTGCCTGTTTTTACACTCATCTTATGTTTATCATACATGAGTTTTGATAAAATTCAAATAGGCAGGATTTGTAAGGAATACATCTAATTGCAATTTTTTCTGATAATAACTGGGATTGCAATTTCCATATTAATTACAATAAGAATTTATAAAAAATAGATTACAATAATATTAGAATATTACAATAGTACATTTTTTTTTTTAATATTTCTTATTATTTCAAGTTAGTAAAAAAATAGTAGTAGTAGTAAATAAAATATTAATTAAAATGAGAAATATAACTTTTATATTTAACGGTAGAATTAAAATGTAGTATTTGAGAAAAATAAATTTATTTACAGTACTGATATTTAATGTTTATTTTTTTTATTTGTTAATTTCAAATGTGAAACCATCAACCATCAGGGAGCCATTAAAGCTTCTCTTTTGTTGACAACAGCCATTATAAGTGCTTCTCATTACAAATTTGTTTAGAGCAGCTGCAGAGATGGAGCAGAATTTGTTGGGAACTAAGCCGCTCTGAGACACTGAAAACACTGGATCATGGGCTGTTAGCGAGTAAATGAACACAGTGCTGCCACAGTGCTTGACTTTCTTAAAACATCCCTGTTCTTTGTGTGGACAATACATTGGTGGCATCAAAAAATACCTAAATCAACAAAACCACTGCCAATCATGTCTAGGCAGTATTTAACAAAACACAGTCACCCGTAAGTGCTCTTCAATAGGGCCTGTTTTTGTCAGGCCAGTTAAAGCCCTTAGTGTCTATTAAAGTGATTTATAAGAACTGTGTGTGTGTGTGTGTGTGTGTGTGAGAGAGAGAGAGAGACACAAAGACTCCAGCTCCTCCTCTACAACCACCTCTCCCTGCATTACTGGGACGACTGGAGCTACTGGGTAAAAGAGACACAAACACACAGGTCACATGCGATTCTGGACTACAATGTGCTGTCAGAGGTCACATAATATCTGCATATTTCTGCTGGTTTGAGCAGCAATGTGCAATTTGTATGATTCCGCTAGACCTCAGGCCTGAGGGGTGATGAGACTCCTGCCCTGCTGCCCCTTCAGATCCATGAATCATCACTATGTTTCCTCACCCAAATCCTTGCTGTTCATTTCTCTTCCACACTGTCTCACCATTCACTCACTGCTCCTGTAATACTTGATTCCCAGAGGGAATTTACATAACCTCTACATTCAATCCCAGTTCTAAAAAACTTAAACTAAAGAGATGGTCAAATCCAGACAGCTATGCACTTACACGCATATAAAGCACTGAATAACCAAACTCAGATTAATATTTCTACACATAAACAATGTGTCTCATGGTTATCAAGGCATTATTTTGGTTCTTACAAAGAATGATTTTCTGGGTAAATTTTATACGAGTTAATAATTAAGAATATGAAATAGGCCATCATAATAATAGCAGTTTTTATAGTATTTAGTCCTTCTCGCGAAAAACTCCTTCACGCGAATTGTTTTTTCCAAACAGTTTGTTTCAAAGAGCCGATTCAAAATAACAATTCAATGATTCCATTAGGCCATGACAGCGCAAAATATTAAATATTAGGAGCTCAAAAACGTTTAAATACACTGGGTTTGTCCCTATTTTACCCAGCACTGGGTTGTATTTAACCCAGCATTTTTTAGAGTGTAGTCATATCTCACCACTTCCTAAAATCAATGTGTTTTAGCTCTTAAAAGTTACTTACAGCCTAAATATTATTTGCATTTGCAATCCTAAAATTAAAATTCATTTACACCTCTTGGGTAAAAACGTTTTTTTCCCATTTGGATCAAATGCAACCTGTCATACAGTCAAGACGCAAGCATAGTTCCAGTACGTCTTATTTGTTAATAACCCTGCTACTGAAAGTTCTCCTCAAATTGCAAATATTCTATCGGTCCACCCCAAATGCATACAACATTTGAGAGTTCATTTGAGAGCCTCTCGCACCGATTCAGTCAGATTCGTGAACAAATAATACAGAAGGGTTTTGTGAAACGGATCAACCGAGTCCTTCAAAGGATCCGAATCAACGATTAGTTCACGATTAGACTATATCTATGTGACCCTGGAGCACAAAACTAGTCATAAGTCGCACGGATATATTTGTAGCACAAGGCAAAAATACACTGTATGGGGTCGAAATGATCGATTTTTCTTTTATGCCAAAAATCATTAGGATATTAAGTAAAGATCATGTTCCATGAAAACATGTTGTAAATTTCCTACCGTAAATATATCAAAACTTAATTTTTGATTTGTAATATTGCTAAGAACTTCATTTGGACAACTTTAAAGGCGATTTTCTCAATAGTTTGATTTTCTTTTTTTTGCACCCTCAGATTCTAGATTTTCAAATTATTGTATCTTGGCCAAATATTGTCCTAACAAACCATACACCAATTGAAAACGTATTTATTCAGCTTTCAGATGATGTATAAATCTCAATTTCCAAAAATGGACCCTTATGACTGGTTTTGTGGTCCAGGGTCACATATAGTCTACATGCAGTATATATTACAGATAAAGCACCGTGTCGTTGATTATGTGGAAATGCAAAACGCAACCCAAATGCACACTGAATTTTGCACGTGCATGTTTACTTTTACATCCGAGCATGAAATAGCAGCTTAAGGGGCGTTGCACTAATCAATATTTGTTGCATCTGCAAGTGGGTTGTTTTGAAATAATATTAGCGGGTCTGAGTGCTGGTCAGCGGATCTTGGCAGGGCTTGAGCGTGTCTATCTCCTCCCTCAGTGACAGCACGCTTATCGGGGCACCACCACACCTCGCGTTTGCTGTCAGTTCGCTTCCCCTGCCCAAATATCATCATGCAATCTCCGTGCAGGACAGTTCCACACATGCACAACCGACAACCTCGTGATACTCACTTGCCCAGCTCCTCGTACAGCTGATATTCGTCCGTGAAACGCGTACATGTAGTCGTGGCCATGTCTTCCCGTCTCGGACACGCTTCTTTAAGAAATTAAAATTCGTCCTCAATTCGGCGAGTAAGAGCGTCCTGGATATTCACCTCGATTTTGCGCTCCAAAAAAAAAAAGCCTGATATGTCTTGAAATGACAGGTTAACGGTTGAGTAGGACAGCGTGTATGCTGACGGCGGGCGTCCACACCCCCGCGCTGTGCTCCAATCGCCTGCCTTCAAAATAGACTGCGCGAGCGCCACCTATCGGCGGCAGGCGGAACTAGCGTGCGTGGGCGCTCCGCTGGGTTACTGTTATTGTAACTCCAAATAGGGACAAACCACGAGGGGGGCTATTTGTATTTCGATGAGCTCTTACGTAATCCTGATAGCGGCGTGTAAACCAAAAGAAATATAAATAAAGCATCGATGGTAGACGGAAATAAAATATTTAATGCATGCATAACAAACATCGTGAGTTTAGCATTTCGAAAACTATACAATATACACTTTTTACCTTTTAATCGTATTAATTTCATTGCATTTTAAGTGCGTATTTGTTTTTTATTTATTCTGTTTTGTACTCCCTTATGCACTTTGTGCTCCATTATATGCAAGGCTCCATACAAATAAAGTGTTATTATTCATTTCATATGCATGACAGGATCATAAAGTTGTCTTTTGCATTCACAAGGATAAATGGTAATAGGGTTTTTTCCACGGAGGGGACTGATGACTGACATGGTTTTTGTTGGCTTCCAATTACCTTTCACATGCAAATGCAATACACAAAGTGTTATCTTGTGAAATCAAGTATGAGAAAACTGGTTATTTTTAATTTTTAAAATGAAATGGTCAGATGCATTCAAAATTATTTTTTAGGTAATAGTTCCATCATGTTTACATTGCTCATTTAGTTCTGTGTGTGTGTGTGTGTGTGTTTTCAACCATTAGATAACGAACATGGACGCCCACTCGATATTTCATATTCAGCTCAATGTCAACATCATTAACTCCAATTACACTAATTAGACTTGGTATGACTCGTTAGGAGTGTTTTTCGCTGCCTTTCGGGTCTCTGTGGAGGAGAGGCAGAAATTCACAAGAACGTAGCATTGGAAAGAAGATCAATGCTAAAGAGATTCGGCCGAGAATGATTCAGAGCCAGTTACACATTTACAGTTATTTATTCATTTTTGGAGAGAAAAGTATCTTCTTCATACAAAAGAAATGTTACGTAAATTATTACAACTGTAAAGTGTTAGGTCCACATGCTGATGGCCCTTTGAAAAATATCAGGGGTTTTATCAAGACATTAAATATTGAGGTGTAATGAGACCAAAAATTCAATGAATATATTATTGCTTGAAAAATATTAACATGCACACTCTAACTCACCGCTGCCAGTTGGGCAAATTCATGAATTCAATTCAGAGTGCAATATTCATGACACAAGAGCAAATGTTAAATCAAACCTGTGTCTAGAACCAAACACACACACACACAACACACACACACACACAACACACACACACTTCAAATAGAGAATCATTAATCACTGAGTCTTTGATGGGAGTTCAAACACTAATCAGTCATTCTAAGCCCTTGAAAATTAAAGGACTAATAGTAGTATTCAGCATTTCTCCTAAAACAAGCTGGTCACATCGAATTTGCATTTACTAAAGTTGTAAAATGTAAATATTTCAGAGATAAATGTATGGTAAATCCAGACAGAACTCTTTTTCCTCATAGATTTAAGAACAGCAGCAGCAATGGCTATCGAGGAAACAAAAGGTAAACTACATTGGGACTGAACTATCACAAAGGACTTTACAAATATTCCACAGCCTTGTCTATGAGAAGAGACTGTCACACGACAAGACGCAATGCATTGACATGAAGGTGAAAAAGAAAGTCAGCGTATGAAGCTCCACCGTTAGGACTCTTGTCCTCCACCAGGAGGCGCTGCAGAGACTCCTCACAGCTGTCACCTTCCCGCACCAGTTTTAGCTGAACAAAAAGAAACGCACATTAAAATGACTTTTTTTTTTCAACTATTAAACATGTTTTACTGCCACAACTGAGTTTGAAAGGAAAACTGTCAAATCCAATACTATGGTTTGAGCTGTGCAGATTTTTTGTCGCAAAAAAAAAAAAAAAATTAATTCTGTGTCCACATCCTGTCAGTTCCTGAATTAAACATTGTGCAAATGAAGGGTGTGAGTCATTCACCTGGAGAGTAACAGCTGCTGAGGACTGCAGAGAGCATATGAGAGCTCTGGTGCTGATGGAGAGGGAGTTCTCAAGCACTGGAAGTTTGATCTACAGAAAAAAAAAAAAAAATGAATTCTGTGTCCACATCCTGTCAGTTCCTGAATTAAACACTGTGCAAATGAAGGGTGTGAGTCATTCACCTGGAGAGTAACAGCTGCTGAGGACTGCAGAGAGCATATGAGAGCTCTGGTGCTGATGGAGAGGGAGTTCTCAAGCACTGGAAGTTTGATCTACAGAGAACATACAACACACATGCTATGTACGAGGCTAAAGTGAAGTCAAAGCACTAAAATACAATAAGTGCAAAACACATTATGAAGAAAACTCCTTGAATGGGTACTTCGACATGAAAAGTGTTTCTCTCTCTCTCTCTCTCACACACACACACACACACACACACACACAAATACACACACAAATACACACACACACACACACACACATTTATAATGTT